CTTAAAGTCCTTGTTTATCAACTCTCTCTTGTAATTAACAACAATTTTGATCAGCCTACATATAATGCGGTTCTATTAAAGAATTTATACTGTGCATTTCATTGATCAGTGTAATGGTTTTAAACGTTGACTCAGGTTCTTGTAGGCAGTGTGTACAATGGGCCGTATAATACATCATGACTAAAGGTGGTCCTATTTCCTTGCCTTCATCATAAGCCATTCTGTTCTTTGTGATTCTGTTCAAGCACATTTTTAATAAAGAATTAGGAAAGAAATGAACAAGAAGGGCCTCACAAAGACAAATCCCACCTTCAACACAGTCTTCTCCTCGTAGAGAGTCTTTGTTGAAAATGTTGCCCTGCTATTTTAGACTCAGTGATGTTTTTGAGTTCCCAATTCCATTATTTGGAGGTTTTTCCAAGCAAATATTTATATATAGTATTGTGATTAAATCAGCAAATATTTCTGCTGTCCATTAAAGTCTCCATGACATCCTCTGGTCACCCTGTGAATATTCCTCTATATCAGCCCCTGATAGCACTAGAAGAGAGCAAATATATCAATAGAAAAATAAACACACCAAATAAGTGACTTAAATTAGCTCAGTACAGTGTATAGGAAAACACAAGATATCTATAATATATTGATATATTAATATATATTTTGAAATTAAAGCTATACAGTAGCCTATAGAAGAACTGTAACAGCAGAGAAAGTGATGTACTGTTAAGAGTGTCCAGAGTCCTAGTACTGATGTTACAGGAAAAGAAAACAACACAAGCTACATGTGTTCTATGCTGTGTGCACAGTGACGAGCAGTAACTGTACTTGCAGGTGTGGAAGCACAGGATTTGACCATTGTGTTTCGCCTAACACGAAGGCTTCAGAGTATTGCACATAAATCTGAAAGCAGTACTCTTGACAATATGAAACAGCTGTGCAGCTATTCATCCGCCTCATCAAATAGATCCATGCAATCTCTAACATAGCGCTCTCTATAAGGCTACATTGACACTGCAAGCCTCTACGCTGAACTCTGATGTATTTTATTTGTTTGGAATGATATTGGTTGTGTTACAGTTGCTCAAGTTGCTGAACAACATTATAAGAAATATAATAATGTGTACATTATATTACAATATATAACAATATTTGTAGAAGATAGAGAAAATGTCATTAAGAGTGTGACCTGTAAGTTAAAAGTTACATGAATTCATTTGACTCTAGAATCAGACCTGTGTCTGATTTAGGACCACATGTGGACGTGGCCCAAGTAAGAATAAAAAAGATGAGATTCCATGTGATTTATGCTGTTCACACTGTCATGAAAAAGCCATATCTGAGTCACATAGTATGAGCAGAAGAAATCTGATTTGGGTCACTGCCTGCAGTGTGAACAGCAGAAGAGCAGTATGTAAGCCATTCAGAAGCTCAAGCAACATCATCCAAGGGTTTTCAAACTTCCAATCACTATAAACACTCTAATGGAATATTATTATATGATATTCATGCATTTTTTACTTTTTACTCAAATGTAAAACCTGTTTCTTTGCATCGGAAACACTATCTGTGGGCTGTGAAAACCAGATGTGAGGCCTGATGTGTTCCAACAGGATCAGTGTTTGTCCTTGCAGGGTTGCATCAGTCACATGCAGACCTACGTCCTGTGTGACACATCTGTCTCCAGCAGGGGGCGGTAGAGCGACTCTATTAAACAGGCTGTTCGCTCCTCCACCTCCTCACTGAGATTTACTCCATCAGCAGCAGGAATCGGTTGGTTTTTACTGAAGTCCTTCAGCTGAATTCATTGGAGCAGTTTTCATGGGGCACCCGGTGGCTCACAGCGCGTCCCATGTGGGCTGGGTCGTTGCCCCAGCATCCCGGGTTTGATTCTGGGTCACAGGTTTTCTGCATGTCATCCCCCTGTTCTCATTTCCCCCATCACCTGTCTATCTTCACCTGTCCTATCAAAATAAAGTCATAAAAAGACCCAAAATATTTTAAAGGTACATTTTTTCATGATATAATACTCTATATACTAATATAGTGTTATATATATATATATATATATATATATATCATTATGAATCTTCATTTGTTACAGTTCAATATCAAAGCACATTTCTAGAAACATGCTTTGTTGTATATCACATCAGTGCAGAAATGTACATTTGTGACATTTTTCAAGTAAATATAAACATCATATGCTTATATATGCTTAAATAACTAAATACATGCTTCTCATGGGGGTGACCTTATCACTGCTCATGTCAGGGTAAAACTGCTGCCTTCAGGCTCTGTATTCTGTTTATGTGCAATGTTTAATACGGGTTTGGTTGTATGAATACTAGTTTATGATTTATCTGAGCCCAGCTGTTCCCTGTCCATTGTACTATTACCATGCTCTGAGAGAGACACTTCTTTTTCTAACCGTCGATATATGAGCCATAGTAAGTCTATAAGGTTTGATCACCTGAACGCAGCACTACTCCAGGTTGAGTTCAGGCAGCGCGCTGCTTTTGCTGCTCAGAAACACCTACAACAGGTGAGCAGGTGAGCTCGTAGCTTGGCTTCTTCTGCAAGATAAAGGTGTAATGTCGCAGCGAACGTTAACTGTAACGATAATTTAACTAGGAAAATTTGCTTCTTTTTTCACGCCAAACTTCATTCAAAATCTGGCAGCAAAAAGTCACTTAACGTTAGTTGTGGTGTTATTGTATTTAAATTATATTAAATATAAGCTATGTCAAACTTGTCAAAAGCAGAAACTCTTAGTTAAATCGGCAAATATAACTTGCACGCACAAACAAAACAAAATCTTTTAGCATTGTCACCCAGCTAGCTAACATTAGTCTTTCCACGATAGACATATACCCGGTCCAATATGGCGGCGTATCCCAGCAATGCGGCATCTGTGTATATATGTCTATGCATCCTACAGCGTTGAGGTGAAGTTGGGTGGTGAATTTAGGAGTTTAAAGTGATACGTTTTTAATAAAATGCTCTTGAAATGACGATAAGACAATGTATCGTCTAATAAAAGTAGTTATTGTGACAGGCCTAATACCAGCTTGGGTTAATGAAGCGTATTGTTACAGCAGTTGGAAAACAATCAAGCTCTTGCTTTTGCATTTGGTATTTTCAGACGATGTATAAGATCACATTGTTCTTTCATTCAGAAATGACCATGGCCACAGATAAAGTGGTTATTGAGACCCCAAAGCTGGAGTCCTGTGCGGGGGCAGCAGGGTATGGAGACTCCTCTGTTCAGGTCAAGATATTACAGGTCCCAGCCAAGTGTGGACCCATCGCTGCTGCAGGCGTCTCAAAGGGCAACTCCGTCTCCGCCTCACCTAAAGTCACCCCCAGCAGCCAGGCCCAGCAGCCTGCAGTTACAGTCCCAGGCCTTCAGACTTCCTCCCCCTCTCTCATGGTGATAGCAAAGGTGGCCACCCCGGCAGGAGGGAGCGCCAACGGCCAACCACAGGTAACAAAACCAGCGTTGAGCCAGGTGGCCTCCATGAGCCAGACCGGCACCCCAGGAAGGAGGGTGGTGATAGCTGTACCAAGGGCAGCGACCCCGCAGACGGTCGCTGTGGCCCCTCGGCTGCCGCTGAGCGCCTCCCCACAGCTCCCAGCAAATATCCAAATACCACCAGGTGAGCTGCACCACGCTCCCATGTTTTTATTGATGATTTTCACATGTCTAATCATAAACAGAATAATACAGAAATAACAACAAAAAGGCTTTTGTTTGGGAGTTACTTTTTAGTAAGTCCATGCATTTTCACAGTTTCATCAGTGAAATCAGTTGTCACTAATGTAGTCTTTGTCACTTTTTTGAGTGTTTTGAATAATGTCCATTTCTCCCAACTCCATCTGTCAGTTTTTCCATTATGTAGATTTCCTCTTCTATCTCTCTCCATTGTTCCTGAGTTTGGGGATCCTCTTTACTCCACTTCCTTGTGATTACTTTTTTACCAACAGTATTTTGACCAGATACCTATCCTTAAATCTCATAGAAGTAGAATCAACATTATATAAATGGAGTAGTAGAAAATGTAGCTCATCATGATGTTAATATATTGTTCCTGAGTATCTTTAGCAACATTTCTCTTCAGCTTCAAGAGCAGTTTTTTCTGCAGCGGGTCAGTGACCCCACTGACTCTTACACCCACTAGCCACCCTGAATCTATGTGTTACATTAATGCACACCTCTTGGATTATATCTTGCACATTGCAAATATCCTTTATGCATCAAAATACGAACATATTGCACATTCTTGCACAAACTATACAGCTCTTCATTCATTCATATTGTACATGTTTATTGTTATAAAAAACTTGAATTTGTTATTCATATACCAAGGCAAAGTCTTTGTATGTGAAAACCTATTTAGCAATAAAACTGATTCTGATTCTGCTTTTGTACACCATTTTCCAAAACATGAATATTTTGTGGCAGAATGAACTCATATACCTTTGGTATGGTAAAACATTGATCAAGTATTTCCAAGAAAATGTGCTATATATCCGTGAATTTATTTATATATTTTATTATATTATGGTGATTTCTGATGGCTGATCTCCTTTATATTTATACGTTTACAGATTTGGTCACTGTTACATTTTGAATTCAAATGCTTCTACTCAGTAGACTGTATGATTTGTCTGCGTTAATGTTTAAATGTCTGGCCTGAGCAGTGTCTGTACTATACTTGGTCCACACACTTCACCCAGCACTCTTTCTTTGCCAGACAAGTCTTGTATTAATCACAGAAATGAGTGATTTTGGAATCTTTCTGTCAGGTATGATGTTGATCCGCAGTGACAGTGGTCAGCTGATGCTGGTATCCCAGCAGGCTTTGGCACAGGCTCAGCAGGGTCCAAGAGGTGTCAGTGGTCAAGTGCCCAGAATATTGTTCCCACAGGTGTGTGGGTGTGTGTGTGTGTGTGTGTGCTGCTGCTTCCATTTTATTGTTGCGGAAGTGGACGGGTACTCCTGTGGTCTTCACTAGCTGTGTTGTCTGGCATTCATCAGGTATCTGCAGCAGCTGTAAATAAAAGTCATGAGAAGGTTACAGTGATCAGGATGGCAGCCCCGCCCAGTTTCCAACCAGCACCAGTACAGAAGACAGCTGTGGTAAAGGTACCGGAGCTGCTTTATGTCTTTATTAGACAGCACTAGAGAGTCAACAGGAACACTGACTGCTAGGTGCTAATTAAACTTACACAACATTGCCAAGAAGATGAATTCCTGCAGTTTGACCACTTCCTTTTGCAGACATAGCTATATCTTTACCTGCACACCCTGTCTTTCCAAACAGTTTAGACACAGAGGCGCGCACTGAAGCAAAACAGGCATCCGTACAACAACAAAGCTAACGCAGTATAAAGCCATGAAGCTTTAGAAAAAGCAACATGAAAAAACGTTATTCAACCTACTACTGTCTTTATTTAGTT